CGGCTATAAGGCTAGCATCGTATCAGCAAGTGCTGGCGAATAGTCACAATAAGAGAGTAAAACACAGGGATTTTGCCCCGGGCGATCTGGTTCTGAAAAGAAAGGTGGGGATGGTCAAAAAAATGATGCCACCCTGGGAAGGCCCATACAGAATTGCAGAAGTCATTGGCAAAGGGGCATATACGTTGGAAACCATGGCGGGAAAGTTGGTCAGCAAGCCCTGGAACGCCACGTCTCTGAAGAGGTACTACCAATAGAAGCTAAGTTCTGGCTTTAATTGGATGTTATTTGTTGTCAATCAAATACGTATGAATGAGCAAGTTACTGGAATTTACAAAAAAAGAATTTTCTTTTCCAATGGTCTACTATAAAAATTTAAAACCAAGTGGCAAGTGGCATTCTAGCCGAGCGCCAGGCACTTAAGCAAGATAAGTGGCAGCTGGCACTATAAGCCGAATGCCAGACACTTGCTAAAAATTTAAAGCCAAGTGGCAAGTGGCATTCTAGCCGAGCGCCAGGCACTTAAGCAAGATAAGTGGCAGCTGGCACTATAAGCCGAACGCCAGACACTTGCTAAAAATTTAAAGCCAAGTGGCAAGTGGCATTCTAGCCGAGCGCCAGGCACTTAAGCAAGATAAGTGGCAGCTGGCACTATAAGCCGAACGCCAGACACTTGCTAAAAATTTAAAGCCAAGTGGCAAGTGGCATTCTAGCCGAGCGCCAGGCACTTAAGCAAGATAAGTGGCAGCTGGCACTATAAGCCGAACGCCAGACACTTGCTAAAAATTTAAAGCCAAGTGGCAAGTGGCATTCTAGCCGAGCGCCAGGCACTTAAGCAAGATAAGTGGCAGCTGGCACTATAAGCCGAACGCCAGACACTTGCTAAAAATTTAAAGCCAAGTGGCAAGTGGCATTCTAGCCGAGCGCCAGGCACTTAAGCAAGATAAGTGGCAGCTGGCACTATAAGCCGAACGCCAGACACTTGCTAAAAATTTAAAGCCAAGTGGCAAGTGGCATTCTAGCCGAGCGCCAGGCACTTGCCGTACAAACACACGGCGAAGCTAATATAAAAAGAAAAAGAGAGAAAAGATATGTATGTACTGAAGATAAGTTGAATAAAGCACAACACATAGGGAAAAAGAGTTCTGTCATTTCATTAATATTGAATATTGAGTTTACAAAAGAGAGATGTCCATCATTACAAGAAGATATGAACTAGAAGAATTCGAAGGAGCCCTAGCTAGACGCCTCAGTACCAACAGCATCCTGGTCTTGCCGACTCGCCTCCTCGGCCCCATCAGCCGCCTCACCCTCGTGAGGTGGGGAATCCAGGTGAATGACTGAATCGTTCGGCTGGGGTTCAGCGTCAGCAGTGGCTATAGAAGGAGCCACGGTTGACGATTGGGGAGCAGTCAGTGGCAGAGCAGTAGGAGGAGCGGTGATGATCCTTGAGGATGCGATGTCCTGGCACTCATCAAATATACGTTCAGCTTCGGTGGGTTCTGGGTCGACATAGACCCCCAGAGGCTCGATCCCCAGATCCTTGTCTACCTCATCCGGAGTGGAGCTGGTCTGTCCCTCATCCGGAACCCGGTCGGCGAAACCTTCCCGGAATCCTTGAGCATACCGAAGAGCACCGACCCTGGAAAACCGAGCGTGAAGGGCCAGCATCCCACCACCCACTCTGCTGATCGCGTCGATCAGAGCGGTACGCTCGTCGAGAGCTCTTTTTTCAAAAGCCATCCGAGCAGACTGTTCATCAGCTAGAAGGCGCTGGAGTTCTGCCTTCTCTTCTCTGATTGATTCCCGCTCAGTCTGCCAGACGCTCTTCTCAAGCTGGAGGGCGTCCTTCTCATCCTGAAGGGAATCATTCTCCTTCTTCAGGACATCTCTCTCTTGCTCGGCTTTGTCAAGCCGAACCAGCACCTCGGTATTCTTCATGGCAAGGAGGTCGTTTTCTTTATTAGCCACCTCCAGGCTGTCAGAATACTTTCGGGCCCTGGCGTTCCCCATCTCCACCTGCTTCTGCATGGCCATCATCCCGAACAATGTCTGCATAGGTGCACATTAAAAACGGTTAAACCAATAGTCAGAACGGGCGAAGGCAGGACCAAGTAATATGAGAGAATTCATGAGTTAGAAAATAAAAGTCACCTCCATAGCAGATTGGGGAAAGCGACTGAACACGTCCTTCTGGGAAAGACCCTTTGCCGCCTCAAGGTCCTTCGGAGTCCACATGCTCCTGTAGTAGGCCATAGCGGTCTGGCCATCCTTCAGCATGGTCTCGTTCGGTTTCACGAACGTCCCATCCGTTCGGGTGTACCGAGGGGCCCATGGCGGTAAGCTGGGGATAGAAGGGGGGCCCGAAGCAGAAGCAGAGCCACCAGCTGCGGGAGGCCCAGAGGGAGAAGGAGCTCTGATCGCTCGGTGCAGGAGAGTACCCGGCCCAGAGACCCGGGTCCTTCTAATGAGAGGCTCCTCCTCCGGATCGATTTCACTGTCAGGATGAGGCCTTTTGCCTCGCTCTTTGTCCCGACCACCCCCCGCAGCAGCAGGAGCTATGGTAGCTGGGGAGGGCGCGTTCTGGTTGGCAGCAGGGGCGCTGGCAACAGGGTTAGTAGCCACTGCGCTCGGGACAGTGTCAGATATGGTGGCTGAAGAAGAAGCCGACGCTGGAGAGGAGGTCGCCCCAGCAGCAGGAGTGGCTGGGGGAGTATTTTTCCTCCTGCCAAAAGAGGGAATCTGCAGTCTGCTCATGTTGTAGCCGAGTGATGAGAGCGCAAAGAGGTTGTCTGAAGTGAGGAGATCTGAGCAGGAAGGAATATCGTTCAGAACGTATCTCTTCAAGTAGTTACTCCTATCCCTGCAAACACTATAGCTCAAGTCATCACAAGGTATTCCCAAGGAGCGGCATAAGTAAGTGCAAAAACGAGGAACGCATGTTTCACAGGGGCAGTCATGTTTATGGGATTTGAATTTTTTATAGGAGGAGACAGAGCAGACACCAAAGGCGCTCGGGATTGGGTAATCCTCTGCAGCCGGCGAAGACCAAGCCCCACTAATGCCCACTATGCTATCCCTCCAACCCTTTTCAGATTTTATTGTGTCAGTGCATATGGACATCTTCTCGAACGGGTAGAGGTGGTAGAAGGGCTCGTTAGTACGGATCTTACTGACCTTATAGCACAGAAGGAGGTCTATGAGGTCGAGATCCAGATTTCTGTCACGCATCAATAAGAGCATAACAGATATGATCCTAAAGAAGTTGGGGTTGACCTGCAGAGGGGATATCCCCAATCTATTGAAAACATAACTAAAGAAAGGGTGCAGAGGGAACCTAACAACATTCAATTGAAGGTTCGTGAATAAGACTTCGCCGGGCAGGAGGCCGGCGCCGGTCGTAATGTTAACGTCTTGGGGGCAAACCCTAACTTCGATGTTGTCAGGAAGTCTAAGTCTCATACGAAGAACATCCAGATCTACAACCATGGTGGAGATGCTAGAAGAATCTAAAGAGGGAAAATGGAAGCCTGCCGAAAGTAAAAAGAACGAAACTAACCTCGGAGGACTGCAAGATCGCTGGAAGAATGACTCTCGAAGGATTTCACCGGAAAAGGCTTAGCACTGTTCTAGAAAGAGAGAGACTTGGCTGATGATGGAGACGGTAAAGAGAAGTGAAGTGGAATTCTAGAGCATTATAAAGGCGAGGGGGCCCGAGGGCCGAAGCGTCGGGAAGGCAAGAAATCCCTCGAGCCCCGGAACATTGATTCTGGATCTGACCGTCCGCTCCCCCACGTGGTTATCTCGAGCCGTCAGCGTCATGATGAGACGCCATCAATAATTACCCCTTATTAAATAAGGGGCAATTATGGGGGCAGTTGAGGAGGCCCCGGATGACATGGGCCAGGTCCGACTCGCAAAACACAACCTTCAGTCCGAACAGCTGGGTCAGCCCATAGAAAGACACTGCCATATGGGCCGAGCGGGAGTAAGCCCATCAAGGGTGACTAGGGCTTACAGAGGAATAGGCCCAGGTCCAGCAATCAGAAAATATCTTGCAAATATCTTGTAAATATCTTGTAAGGATCTATAAATAGGAGTTGGAATGAAGAGGAGAGGGATCTTTTCGGGTTGAGGTGTAAGAATTCTAGAGAGAGAAAGAATAGTAGGAGTTTCTTGCATCTTCAATAGTGCTTCTTTGTTTGTACAAGAAGTGTGATCTTATATTACGGATGGTTCCTTTACGATTCGAATGTGGGATAAGATTTTCCTTATAACAGATTTTCTAAGTTAATTATTCTAATGTTATCATCGGTGGAAAGTATAATGTCGCAATATAAAAAGTAATATTTGAATAATGTTAAGCATCATAAAAAATAAAAAAAAATAAAAAAAAAGAAAAAAAAAAAAAAACGAAAAAGTACAGAGCATATCTGTCCCCTAACATTGGACTTGTGAAAACAAAAATAAATTCAACTTAAGGATGAGATCCATGTTGATATCCTAATTCCAATGATTCAATAAAAATGCCTATGTTATATCATCAAACATATCACTGAGAAGAATCTGGCAACTGACTGAGAAGGATCATCAAACATATCACATAAGTAAAATGCATATATTTTAATGATTCTTATTTATTTTTCTCTTTTAAATCACTCGGTTCTATAATACGTATAATTTTAATTAGAAATACAATTTAAAAGTGAGACTTTAAAGATTTACCTACCAAATCTAGTGAAGGCCGCTTATGAAGACTAATGATTATTATCTTTACTTGTCAGCTCTTAATTAGTCATAATTCCAGATGATCAATTTAGGAGTAACATTAAAGTATTTCTACTCAAGTGCAAAAACTACAAGTCATTGGTTGTTTTATTTTTTTTAATATTTTTTTTTAACAAAAAGTCATTCGTTGTTGGAGAGTCAATTATTTTACGGGTTCTACCTTCTAGAAGCACACCGCGCTCTATCTATTTATACTGCAACTTCGTTTGCGCCATCTCGTATTACTACGTATGCAAATACCTCACACACACACACACAGTAATATGAATACATTCAACTTCCTATCTCTCTCTCTCACATTTTGAATCCTTCCTCACCAAGAAAATGACGAGAATTTTCTGCGTAGTCTAGTCTACTCTGATAGACTCTCAACAACACATCATAAAAGCGTGTATGTGTATATAGTTGCACTCATTCTTTGGAGCCCTAAATCAATTAAACTACTTATAATTTCCGCACAATTGATATATATCTACAACACCTGCAATCCACCGCCATGGACGGCGGAGACAATCACATACTAGAGCTCGGTCGTCTGAAAGTCATCGCGGCTCTGGGGCGCGGAGCCAAAGGCGTTGTGTTTTTGGTTCGAGGCGAATCGAGGGACAGCGAATTCCTGGCTTTGAAAGCAATCTCCAAGGCTTCAATCGAGAAGAAGAAGAAGATGAACCAAACTACTACTACTTGTGATAGCGAATACAAGCGGATTTGCTTTGAACAACAAGTTTTAAGCCGTTTTCAACATCCACTATTACCGAGACTTCGAGGAGTTCTCGCCACCGATCACATCATCGGTTACGCAATTGATTACTGTCCTGGACGTGATCTCAATTATCTCAGAAAAAAACAGACTGAGAAAACCTTTTCTGATGACACCATCAGGTTAGTTTACTATCTATCTCTACACTACCAAACCAAACAACTTTTTCATTTCCATTTATTAATGAGTTTCTCTCTCTAAACTCGATCTCTACTTACTGATTTTAGGTTTTATGCTGCCGAATTGGTACTGGCATTGGAGTATTTGCACGGATTAGGGATTGTTTACAGAGATTTGAAGCCAGAAAACGTAATGATTCAAGAAAACGGACATCTAATGCTCGTGGATTTTGATCTCTCAACAAAACTCTCACCAAAATCTCCCGAAAATATTGTTCCGGTCGTTACGTCGGTCGACAAACCTGCGCCGATGAACAAGAGGCCATTCAAACCCTTCTACAGGTGTTGCAACTCTGGCATATTGCCGGAGGACTCGGTGTCTCCGCCGAAATCCGTTACTCACACGGTGAGTTCCGGGTCGGACTCGGCGGCTAAGTCGAACTCGTTCGTGGGGACGGAGGAGTACGTGGCACCCGAGATCATATTAGGTAACGGTCACGATTTCGGGGTGGACTGGTGGTGCTTAGGGGTTGTGCTGTACGAGATGCTGTATGGAATGACGCCGTTTCGGGGGTCAAATAGGAAGGAGACGTTTTACCGGATTCTGACGAAGTCGCCGGAACTAGTCGGAGATCCGACGCCGTTGAGAGAACTGATTGCAAAATTGCTGGAAAAGGATCCAAAGCAGAGAATATCACTGGAGGGAATAAAAGGCCATGATTTCTTCTGCGGGGTTGATTGGGATCTGATCCTGCAAATAGGGAGGCCACCATTTATACCTGTACGGGTTGAGGATGAGGACACAGAAGGAAATAAGGAGATTGATGTGGAGTCCTTTGTCCAAGGAATATTTGAACCTGGGAGGGTGGAAGCTAATAGCAGTAGAAGTTTGGAAAACAAAAATAATGAGAAGAACACAGATAATGGGGTGTGGATCGAAGGATTAGATCACCCTTGTAAAACTGACAAATTTTTTGTTTTTTGATCATTTATGTAACTATTTACATATTTATATAGAACAATAGATTACTCCTATATACTAAATGGTGATTTGTAGTTGCAATTATATTTTATATTGCATACATATATTGTTTATATTTTCTTTGTACTGACATTATTATACTCTATCATATTTAGGGGCCTTTTGGGCAATGATACCTTCTGGTTATCCTTATGGAAGGAACTTATGCTCTTTATGTTCTGTATAACTTCTCCAAGCCATCATATGCTTTATTCTTGCTACTTTGAAGATAACTGCAACAATTCATTTCAAATCTTAGATTTAAAGCTTTCCCCATGTCAAAAATCTATAATTTTTTATCACTTCCATTATATAAATTTTAGTTCCAGGTTTCTAGTTTTTATTTTTTATTTTTATTTTTGGCCGTAAGGTTTTTAAGGTTCAAAGTTAATCTACTCCCATCTGTAACATATTTTCACTCATCATTTCATATTTGAAATCAAATAACATGAGAATGACTATTTCGTTTTATTCTTATTTCTATTTTATTTTTACTTGCATTTCATTTATCTACTCCCAAATGTAATGCAAATTTTTCTCTTCTTTACCAAGAGACAACTGAATTAGGTGAGCCTTAATCCAAAACTATATATATATATATTTTTCTCAGGTGAGTCATTAAAAGGCTAGCTCACACAATTTAAAACATGGACAATGATAGTTACCTTATTTTGACTTTGATTTCCGATGAGGTTTGGAAAATAAGAAAAAGAGTAATGATACTCCTACTACAACTTTAACACATTTTCTCCCTATCACACAATCGGCGTCGGAGAGTTGTGGCTTAAGATTTTTGCAAGAAAACGATTCCACCGATTTTTCCTAGGATAAAATAAGTCACATTTTTCATTCAAAGGTAGGTGTCACAGCCCGTAACAGTAGGCCTCAACCAATAAATAGAGTTGGAAAAATCCGAAATTGGGTGGTGAACACTCCCCATCCAAAGTCCAATTTACATCATGTCTATCAAGAACATCCCACTCCACTAATGGTTGGTGGTCTTAGGATATTAGACCGTTACCTTTTAAAAAGAGATCAACTGTTCAAATTTCAGTAGAGGCATGTGTGTGTGAGAAAAGCAATTATAAAAAAAGAGAGGGCAACCAACTCCCCAATTTAATTAGTTTAGACACTAAATTGTTGTTCGATAGAATTTAATAATGTAATGGGTGAGCGTTTGTCCATTTACCCAATTCAATGTGAGACAAATATCCCCTTGTAACATTTTTCCCCATCTGGACTCGCAACGTTCTCATTCATCCGAACGCCTTCCGGGTTGGACACTTGGTGTGATACTAGATCAAGAACTGAGTCTGACTCTGATACCAATTATAATGTGTGAGTGCTTACCCATTTATTCAAAAATTCAAATTGTTAGATAGTACTGTATATCGACCCATTTATACATAATCACTCTTCTATCCAAATCTAATATGAGACAAATATCCTTGTAATAAATAGTTGCCACATTTATGACCGTCCAAAACAATAAAAGTGTTTAATTAAAAGGTAAAAAAATATTATGATGAGAGTGTAGTCGTAACAAGCTGATGCCCTTATTCATTGAATGATATGGATAAATGAAGTACAGTACTTGGTAACAAATGTAGTTTCAATAAAATTCTTGGGAGTACTAAATAAACTCCTAGTGAATAATCTTGTGCACGTTGTACTTGTGAAATAATTGAAGCACCTCGTAGTCACATCCAATAAGCATTAGAGTTGCAACTGTTAGTTACAACAGCATTTAAACTCCAACGCTCCAATAAATTTAAATCTACTTTGCTTATTCCAATGCCACATCATTTTTCCTTTTCTTCTCAACTTTATGTCTCTCCACTCTCTTTTAATCAACCCAATCTTCTTTTTGCTCTTCCGTAACAGAATATCCACAATAAGATGCTTCATTAATCACATTTTCCTTTTATTTTATTTATTATTTTATCATAAATATTTGGATTTATTGATAATAAACAATAGTGTATCCATGCCGAACAGACTCAAAAGATTTAAAATTTTAATAGGTCAATGGTTAAATTATACCGACACCAACAGTGTCTTTTCCCCACAAGACAAACAGTCTTCCTTCTAGACCTACACTTTTTTACTCAAACTTTATTTTATTATTTATTTATTTTTAATTTTTTTTTTGGGGGTAATTAACATGTTCCCATACATCTTAAGCCTATAATTACGCTTTGACTTTAAAGCCTACTTTAATAAAGTAGAAATGCGTCACATTCCACTATATTAAAAATGTCACTCCCAACAAACTTTTTTAAGCTTTCCAACATTTCACGTCCAACTATTTCAGGGACACGTGTGATGTTTTCTTCCTACATATATATTAGGTTTTGAATTTCAGAACGCACTTATAAATGCTATGGTACAACTATAGAAACCGACTTTACATTAATTTTTTTTTGCAATGCCCATTATAAACGACACTATTATTATTTTTTTAATAGTGTTTTTGTTTTGGTTCTCACCTCCAACTGTTTAGGACAGTGACTGGTTTCAAGAAAAATTCACATGCTTTCTAGTTACATTTATCTAGTAATTAATAAAGGACTGTTGTTATACAATCCAAAACAAATTAACTATGGCCACTAAATCCTCCAAATCATCTTAAAAATAAATTACAAAGAGAATATTTTATAGAAAAAAATGAATTTTATTTATTAATCAATAACCAAATACCAGCAGCACTAGCCTATATAGAGAGAAACGGATCCAATTTTATGTACTCATTTTTGCAATATATTTTTGGTGAGTTTAAAACAACTTTAATTTATTTGGACCAAAAAAAAGGTTTAAATGAGTTCGATTTCTATAAAACGATTTGCTACCAGACTACTTGTTTCACTGGGGACGTAGAGGCCTGTATATTTTTGGGCCTCGATATGGCAACTTTGGCCCATACTCTCTATTCTTCAAAAGCCCACTGGAATGCTTTTGTAATTTTGTATGAACCATTCATTGGATTGGGCCGAGAAGAAGGCAAGGAGGTGGATATTCACTTGCCCAACATCATGATTTAAACAGGGGAGGAGACATGTCAAAGTTGGAGAAAAGTGAGAATTAAAAATATATAATATCTATACAAAACACGGATTACATGTTTATAATATTAACCTACTCAATTTTGAAAAAATAATAATATTAACTCACTCAGTTACTTACCATTAGCCGAAAAATATTAATTCATTAAATTAGTGAAATAATATGCTAAGATTAAATTAAAGCTATATAGTTGATAATGGTTAGCAAATGTTAAATATACAAAATTTTGACTAATAGGTCTGTGGCGTAGCGGTACCAGGCCCTTACTTTCTAAAGGGAGGTCAATCGATATCATAGATTTTATTTTTATATAACATTAAAATTTCATAGAAACTAATGAAACTAGGAAAATATATATCTGAAGTGAAAACATAGTTATATATAAATATTAGTAGTAGTAATATATAAAAATTATATGTTGTATACACAAATAGTACTTGAGCCCACCAAAATAATCCAAGTAAATCATCATATATAATCTTATGTTTGAAAGTGTGTTAAGAAATTAATTGCGGTCACTAATTATATTTGATTTAAACCAAACACACTTAGTGCGGGAGAAAATTCCTTTTGGTAACCAAACATTAGTAATGGAAATACTTGATTTCTTGGCATTCAATTCTATGGACATCTCAGTTGTAGTTCCATTATGGCCTTCTATCTATATCCAGGCCTACATTTATTGGACTAATTGTGTGTTTGGTGTTTTTGGATGCACACTACTTTACTTTGTCCAAGGCACATTATCATATTATACACAATACAATGTGAACCGTATCCTTTTGTGTGTAATATTGACCAAAACATCTATCTAACCTTGTCACTATCAACCAGAAAATTGAACCTAGTAGTTGGGGAGGATGGCATGGAATGAAATGGAATAGAATGAATTATAAAGTCTATTGAGCAAATCATATTTTATGTTCAACTAACTTTAAAATCCGTTTTATAAAACTATATTTTCACAACCGTGGTTTGTGAAGAAGTTTATAGTATTTATATATGTGGATGTCTTTCAATTTTGTAAACATTTATTAAAAATTGTAAACAAAAAAATGTGCAAAACAAACTCCCAATGCCATTATCAAGGGTTCGAGATTGGTAGTTGAAAAGTAAAGAGAAAAGACAATGTCTACCTGAACAATCATCGTGGCAAACACAATTGGAAAATTAATAAATTTCATTGTTTTGGACAATGGTGGGATATGTTGAAAGCCCCCAAACACACTTTTATTTTTTGAGCTGAGAATTTCAGTGTGGAAAATGAATGCGATTGGAGAATCTTAACCACTTTAATTTGACTCAACTTTTTTCTAGTTCACACTTGGAGATGTCACTAACTCAATTTTTGTCAATGGTTTGCTTAACACATTGGTGAATGTGAGGTTAGACTTTTTGATAGACTAGATTTGATTTCTAAATATGGTGGCCTTACTACGGCATGCAATTTTTTAAGAGTAGAAAGTCTCATTCATGTATCTCTCCCTTGAGCGGATTCAATGAAATATTAAATAAATATTTTCATTCAGTTTTTAAATATTTTTCACAGTTAAACTTAAAAACTCATCCATAATTAAAAATAGTAGTAGAAATTAACCATCTCTGTCCCACATTGTCATTTTTACGTTTTTATTCTTCCTATAAAATTATAATGATATTTGTATACATAGTTGTGACACTCACATGCATTAATATTATAATTTCTAATATTAAAGAAATGATGAACAACAGTAATTAAATGAAAATGAAAGTTAAAACTGACCTTAATTCATTGTCGCCATGAGTGACTCAATCATTGCTCCTCCTATCCGCTGCAAATCAGGCAAGTAGCTTTTCATTCACCCCTTGTGCGTGACCCTCGCTCTTTCAAATCCCAAAAATCAGGACGACACGTCATACTCTGAAATCCCGTTTCCACGTGTCATCCCTTCGTTGGCTTAGCATATCACAGGTCCACACAGTCACACCTACCCTAGTTCGCTCGCTCACCTTCCATTTCCAAGCTCTCTTCCTATAAATATAACTCCAGACGAGACGCGTTTATGTCACACCCCTGCTCATTTTAGCCAAATCCTGCCCTAAAATGTCCCCTCTTCCATCCTCGCTTCTGATTCTAGGGTTTGCATTCCTCTTTTTGCTCATCTCTCCCTCACATTCACTCAACTGTACTTCACAGAATTTTACAAACAACATTGTCTACGCAAACTGTACAGATCTGCCGTATCTCAGCTCGTATCTCCACTGGACCTACAACTCCTCCAAATCCTCTCTTTCCATTGCATTCGTCGCACCTCCGGCCAAATCCACCGGCTGGATCGCATGGGCGATTAACCCCACCGGCACCGGAATGATTGGAGCGCAGGCACTGGTGGCGCTCAAGGAATCGAACGGCTCGATGGTGGTGAAGACCTACAACATCAGCTCCTACCAACCGATCGTCGAGTCGAATATTTCGTTCCACGTAGCCAACAAAACCGCCGAGTACTCCGGCGGCCTCATGAAGATCTTCGCGGTACTGACGGTGGCGAATAACGCGACTGTGAACCAGGTGTGGCAGGTCGGCAGTTCGGTCACCGGCGGCATTCCGGACAAGCACGCGTTCACGCCGGCAAATCTGATGGCAAAGGGAACCCTAGTATTGATGGCGGCGCAGACCAATTCAACCACTAACAGTACTACTCCTACTCCTGCTCCTCCAAGTGGTAGTCCTGCTGCTCCAAGTGAGAATGTTAGTGCAAGGATTAGATATAGCAATGTTGCTTTTTATATATTTTTATTATTTGTTGGAGTTTTTTGTTTTTAGAGCATTGCTATGAATTTTCATGACTCGCCACTGTAATAATCATTAATTTAAAGGATTAGAGTGAGAATTTTATCTAAATTGCTGTGATTTGAATATTATATATATATATAATTGTGGTGTGTGTAACTCTATTGTCTATATATCGCATCTACTTTATAGGTTTTAAGAGAAAATTTTAACAAATTTTAAAAATATATTATTCTACTTTTTCTGGTTTCATCCACATTTTGAGGCTGAGTAAAAATCAACATTTTTGGAGTTTATCATATATTTTGGTCCTAATAGATAACAATGAAAAGTCTAGAAATTATCTTTTATTATTTTCAATTTTTATTGTATGGTACAATAAGATTGTTTTATTATAACTGGGATATCATGAATTTGAAATCAGAAGGAAACAATGAACATACTATATTCTCTAAATTCGCAATGATAGAACTACATACATTGAACTTGGATTAATTTTCGGTCAACAATTTTTGATACGGTAAACATAACATTAGATGTTGGCGTGTCGGTTTTGTGTTTGGAATTTAGGTTTTAGACGTGGCATGTTTGTATAATTATTTTTGTGATGGGAATTAGTAAAAATTTGTAAGAGATATGTAATTATTGTATTATCTCCTTAAAAAATTACAAAATTTTTTCAAATTTAAATATATATATATAATCAATTTTAAAATTTTAAAAATATTTTATGAAAAGATAAAAAATATATTATTTAAACGTGATAAGTAACAAGTATTTTGAAATAATAAAAATAAATAACAATTATTATGGAACTTTGTAATGCTTTGATTGTTTTTGAAATATACCTAATGTTTGTTCTTCCGATGCAACTTTTGAGCTGGATAAATTTCAACCACTTAAGTTTTTATAGCATGTGTAGTAAAAGATAGTGTAGAAGATATGGGCCATGAGGTTCCTACTTTTTGTGAGCGTAGGACATTCATATTGATGTCATGTCTGTGTCTATGCTTCTTCCTTTTTCATATTCCTCACAATGCTAACTTTCTCATCAATTATGCTTTACATGCCCACGTGCAATGTGTTTTAATCTTTAAACCAATCCTGTGCTATGCTCTACTATCACAAATAAATATATAAGAGATGTCCAAAGTGACCGTGCTCAGCATTGTCGCGTCTATATATATATATATATATATATATATAATAAAGCGAGCAAAATCGAAATGAGAGCGCATCTTGTTTAAAGAAAGTTTTTTCTAAACATCTACAAGTATTAATCTTATAACTATTAAATGTTATTAAAAAGTCTACTTAAAATGTTGTCATAATAAAATTATTATAATATTATCCCTTGTATCCACTTACACGAAATAATCCACTAGGTTCAGATTTTTGAATGCTATATTTATTATTTCATTACACATATACATATATGGAAATTAATTGAATCCATGTGCTCTTCGCTTATTTGGGTGTATTCACATGCTATTGGATACCTTCCAGGGTTTCATCATGTAAGGGTCCAATAAATCTGAGCTTCAATTTTATGTATATTGAAATCATAAATGAAGTTGACCTACTAAAACACGTATTCCCATAAATATGATAGTGAATCTTATGGAAATTAAAATATTAAAGTATTTTAGATCAATAATTCTCTAATTAATGTATATTTCCTCAGATACAATCTTCTCATTCTAGGATGCTGAAAACAATAGATTAGATACTAAATTATATATATATATATATATTTAATACCAGTCAATGTCACTGCACTCGAGGTCTCCTTCAAGAGTAAAAAAACATAAAAGAAAATGGAGGTCTCTCTTTAATGTATTATTGATTATCAATTTGAAGTTTATATTGAATCAAATAATGACGGGCAGCACCCGGTAATAACTTATATGAGTATTGAGTAGGTTAAATATGTGAAGTTTTAGTTTAACAGAACCTGGGCTAAACAACAATTCATGCTTTTGGACCCAGATTGCCGATGAATGGATGATAAATAGTTTAGTTATTTGTAATGAAATAGGGCTGGTCTAATATGTCTACTGATATTTACCATTTTTTGCAAAACTATTGTCCTTAAAACTTGAGCTTTTGCATTTTTAAGTTTGAGATTGAATTTCAAAATAAGTCATGAATAAATATTTATGGAAAAATGATCAAGAATACTTGGTGACGGAGTAGAATGAGCCTAGGGTATTGAAAAATTAAAGAATCACGTATCTATAATTAAAGAAACTCCGTTCTAAAGGCAACAATTATAAATCAAGGGTTGGACAGAATTATTTTGACCTAATAGTCCGTCGAATTTGGTCAAATTAACAAGGAAAAAAAACAAACGTAGAAACTTTAGTAATATTGTACGACGGAACATTAAACTGTTTATATTTATCCAATCATCACCATCACACACCATTTGTTTTGGTAGATACTGCATAAGTTTGGTTGACACAAAAGCATGATATCAATATAGAGGTTCAAAAATCTCATTGTCTCAAAAAACAATAACAAGTTGCTCTCCCACAATTATATTCTCAACAAACCGTCGCATGCCGTTGTCACAAAAATATAATTGTTTCCTTATATATGTGGCCATTATGAAAATGTCAAAAAAACAGCCAGTTAGCCGACACTCAAATGCATGCCACTGCCACACGAACATAATTGTTTCCTTATATATGTGGCCATTATAAAAAATAAAAAAAAAAAAGAAAAAGAAAAAAGAGTTTACAATATTTCTGGGTGATAAAGCAATGGAGTGTCATTATTTATTTATTTATTATGTAGTCAAATAAAAAGTTTTCATAACTGTTCATTGAGGTGACAAGAGCAACAATAGGACATGGATCATTTTTTCGGGCCTTCTTACCTTCCAAATTTTCTTTGGACCATCATCAAATGGCATTATCTAACTATGTGACAACATATGTGTCGTTCAATTGAGACTACACAATTATGTGCATCTTTGTGGGTCCAAAAACTTAAAACAACTGCCCTCACGGGACACTCCACAAGTTAGATCGGAGTGGGCTCAGAGTTCTTAACTGTAACATCATTTTTAAATTTTTTTATTGTTTTTAACCTGGCAAAATAATCAACATCTATATGGACAAAAACAAAGAACCATTAAAAAATCAAAGAAAACACAAGTATGCGCTAAAAGACCTAAAACTCTCCAAAACAAGACTAATACTCAGTACGGTCAATAAAAGTCTACAGCTTTAAAAGGTATCAGTGATAGAGAGAGCGCTATCACTCACAAGATTCACCTTATTGTGATTACAATGCAGCAAAGTTGGGCTAAAACATGGGATCTGATCAAGCCCATTTGACAGCCCCATCCACACAACCAGAATAGCCGGATCCCGAAGCTTACGTCTCTTCAAAGTTCTTTAAAATCTTGTAACTCAGTTAATCAAAGAAGTTACGACCTTAAGATTGAATACCTTTTTTTTTTTTGGCAAACCCAAATAGTAACATAAATATCACTAGTTTAATTAAAAACACAATTTAAGTCGGGTGGTGGAGCTAGGATTTGAATTCAAGGGGGCGTGGTGGGAATTTAAAAAAAAAATAAGAATAAGAAGAAGAAAAAGGAAAAGAAAAATGAATTTTAAAGAAAATAAATTAAAGCATGATTAAATAAGGAAAATTTGACATTTTTAAAAAGGTAATTACAGAAATTTAAAGAGTAAAAGAGAAAATAATTTTAAAAAATTAGGAACTAATAATTTTAGAAGGGACATAATATACAAATTTATATATATATATATATATATATATATATACATATATATGTATATAATAAAATAAAAATCATATATATACCAGACTAGGCCAGAAAGGATATGCCCTGATTTAAGTCACATTTTGTGTAGCAATTGCATTGATTATATATAACTCAAAAGTTAGGACCAGCCGCACTAACACCAACACCAGTTTCAATGAATTAGGTAAAGCCTTAAAAATAAAATTGAAAGTAAGTCTGATTATTCTTTTTCTTGTTTCACAGTGGTTCAACCAATATAATATAGAGTGTGTAATATATACATACTTGTATGTATATATGTATGGATATTTGGATGACATTAAGAGATATACTACGAGTTGCTGTCTGTGGTTGAACCATATTGCAGTGGTCCAAAGGAAAGTGTAGAGTCCAAACTTGATGGAACCATCAATGGTGATCTGGGAGTGACGTAGTTATGAGGTCAAATTAAATATAGTGGGCTAAAAGATTTATTATTTAGTCACCCTAGCATCATTGTGACATGTCTACCGTGATTGCTAGGCATGGACGTTATAGTAGCGGGACCACACGCTTAAATAAATCAACGGTGGAGGACGTACCAAATAATCACGAGGCATACATAGTTTTAAATATTTAATATGTTTCCATGTCTAGTGGAATTCACGAATTAGCCGGCTTATCTGTAAAGTTGTGGACTCTATCACACTAACACGAAGACTCGTGGGTCAACGGTCATAATCAACACTCTCTTTACAAAAAAGGAAGCACATTATCTTTATGTCATTTTTAACCCTAGGGCTACACCTTCCTAGGAGAATCCTACCTGCTTTAATCCTTCATTATATCATTAACACCGTCTAATAATTCCAAAATGGCGTGTTTTGTGTGTGTGTGTGTGGAGGGAGTGCTCAATATTTTGTTCATATTTCACACATAAAACATGTATATTGGTTTTTGGTTGTTAATTGGTGAAAAAAGAAAAAGAAAAAAAAGACTATGATAACGGGTATAAACAGATGTGTGGAGTGTTGTAGCGTTAATTTTTTTTTTTTTTATGTTACTTTATGATTTTTTTTTTGTTTTTTTGAAAGGTAACGTTACTTTATAGATTGGATTGTTATTTTTGATTTTTTGAAAGGTAAGTTGAGATTATGTTCACCTTTTCATAAAAAAATTACTAATCTTTTCATAGATGGAGAAGACTAGCTAACAACTGCCCATTTAAAGGGAAATTAGCATGATCTTGCATGTAATGAGGAAAAGATAAAAAATAATAAAATAAGACAAAGCTACAAGTTGTTGTAGCAACAAAAGCAATAATAATTAAAGTGATTTATGAATGGGTTGGAAGAACCTATTTGAGAGACAGACAAAACTCGGTTTGCGTGATTTTGGTTTGGTGAATAATAATAGTTCAGCAAAGAGAGACTTTAGGGGTAGTATTTTTTAATACATTTGAAAACAAATTTATAAACAGTTGATCAATGTTGGTGGAAAACTTTCACCAGTATGTTGACACTTTGTTTTAGAATTGACGGTGTGTGATGAAGTCCGTCAAGCTTGCTCAACAAGCACTAACACAGGTCGATTATTGATATAAACAATATGATCGATTTGTCCCACAATTAAAGTTTTTTTTGTCATGGTAAGGTTAGGTATGTTGATTTTGACAACATCCACAATCGATGCCGTTGTGTGTTGCACACGAGGCTTCGCTAATTCCAGAATCACATTTGAGTCAAGATAAAGACATCAACAAATTCATTTATTCTGTCCTCATTAAATATATATTCCATTCGGAGAATTAAATTTAACCACGGCTTTGATGTTAACCAGCACCAAACCCTACCTACCTACTTCTGAGTTGAAGGTACTCCCCTCTTCCCGTGCATGTACACTTTTAAGAGTCTCGTGCATTGAACTAATTTTATTTTATTTTTTTTTCCTCATTTTATTGAGTTAGTTAATTTGGCTTAGAGAGACTGCCTAAAAATTTATTTGCTAATGTAATAAGCTCAGCAATGTAATGTATAAACAAATACGAAAAGAGAATAGAGGAAGAAAGGGAATGGAAACGTTTACAGGAAGACAGTAGAAGAACACACTGAAGAATTTCTGATAGATCCCTATAGATGTTATATATATACTACTACTAAAGAGATGAACAGTGTGTGTAACCAAGCCATTATACAAAAAATGAACAACAAAGGAGGGAAGGAAAACAAGTCCTCTCAAATAGACAAAAGAAGTGGCATCTCAAACGCCCGAAGAAGGGGAGGGAATGATACAGAATCTGCACGAGCCAGAGACTCCTTTCACGGGGCAAGGGGCTCTTGCCTGCCTGGTCCATTGTTGAACCCGTCGTACGGCTTCGTGGACTTGCTGGACTTCCTCCTTAAAACTACAATCCAAGTGATTGCTTCCAACAACAGAGCCATCCCGCCTAACACACTGATCACAACTATGTATGCCGATTTCCATTTCTGTGCAGGATCCAAGATGCCTAGTCCTTTAAACACGTTGATGATGCCTAGGACTAAGATGGCGTATCCCATACCGTGGTGGTAGATATTCCAGTAAAATCGAAACTTGTGATCCTTCTTTGGTCTCAAGAACAACGCAAATATCTATAGAGTTATAGAGAAAAAGCATCATAAGAAAATAAATTTCAAAAACCAGTTTCGATTGCATCATTTTTTGTATGAATGAATGCAGCATCAGAGGAAACACTCACTTATAAGTAGAGATAAAAAAAAAGGAGCCCCAATAACAGGAATATGACTGGCTCACAATTTAAGCTCGACATAACTTTGAATGCGTAATAATTTTATACCAACAAACTAACTTCATTTCTTGAACAATTTGAAAATTTTAACACAAGCTAATATCAAAGTTTTGATATTTGAATTTCATTCTAGTTAAAAGACAGCAGGATACATAATAATACACAGGATCATTTGAAACTCTACAAAAGAAATTTTCTCAAATAAGATCAAGTGATAAAAACTAAATTGGCAGAGGAAATTACCTGAACAGTTGCAAGAGCGAAGAGTGCAATCCCGAGATTGCGATGATCAGTGTATTGGATCCCCTTTGATTCACTTCCGAGCTTAAGTCCAGTTCCCCAACCAGCAACACCAATTACATAGGCAGAAAACTGGCAGGAAACATGAAGATAAAACCATGCTGGATCAGCAGACGGGAAAGCTCTCACATATCTCGCGATCATGGCTCCTACCGGAAACATAATTCCCCAACTCACAGCATTCAATATTCCATGAATCTGACAAAAACAATCAGATTGAATGATTAGCAAACATATGAAAAAACCATGTGTACATCTAATACATCATTCTATTATCAATCAACCGATGAAGTAGTTTGATGATAAAACTGTACTAATCCATTTTTTAAAATCATCAATCCATAAGGAAAAAAAAAAAAACCATCAAGTCCAATTTTCAAAACTCAGCAACCCACCCATAAAGTGTCTCTGAAGATTCCTCTCAATAATTAAACAAATATATAATCTATCTTAATCTAGTTGTAATTTGAACCAGAAATGTACTCCTTGAAAAGTAAAAAAAAAAAACCAGCCAAACAGAAAGAGACGAAATTATGAATCCTCTGTAATTCAGAGATTCCCTCATTTCCAAAAACGGATATATATACACATACATATATATACATTTCAGCGAATTTTGTATAAATGTTATCGATAATAAAATAAAAAAATACTAAAAAAAAAAAAATGCTAGACGGAAAGCAAAAATGAAAAAGATCTAAAAATCGTAACTTAGCCCAACAAGTAGAAGAATCTTACATTTCTCCTCTTAATCCTTGAGTCTCCTCCTCCGGTGCCACCGGTGCTCTGTCCTCCCAACAAATCTAGGGTTCCTTTCGAATTCAGATTCGCCGGCTGAAACTCATGCCTTGCCGGAAAATTAGAGGCCACAGACGGCCCCACCTGCCACACCTGGTTCACCGGCGTCGCCGCCCCACCCGGCAACGCCACCGTCGCAAAAATCCTCATCAAGCCGTCCGAATAATCGGCACTCATGTCCGTCACATCAAACGACAGCTTGGACTCCACAATCGATTGGTACGAGCTTATATTGTAGGTAAACACCCCCATCGAACCGTTGGATTGCTTGAACGCGATGAGCGACTGAGCCCCCACCATTCCGGTGCCGGTAGGGTTTATGGCCCAGGCGATCCAGCCGTCGGATTTGGCAGGAGGCGCGACGAAGGCGATGGAAAGTGTGGACTTTTGGGAGTCGTAGGTCCAGTGGAGGTAGGAGCTGAGTTGTGGTAGGTCGTTGCAGTACTGGTAGAGCTTATTGTTAGTGAATTTCTGCGAGGTACAGGTTTGAGAATGTGAAGGTGAGATTAGAAAGAACAGCAATAGAGTTAAGGTTAGAGCTGAGAATCGCAGAGACGCCATTGAAGACGAGTTGGTTGAGCTCTTTGTGTGCCTCAGAGAAAGAGAGGAGTGAATTTAACGACGAAGATTGGCGAGCGTTTCGCTTTAGTTGGAGGACGTGTAGATATTGAGATTCCTTTATATTTGTCTAATATACATAGACTATATATATCTAGAGAGAGAGAGAGAGAAAGAGAGAGAGTGGAAAGGTAAAGATGTGGGGGAGACGACTTGGTGTGGGAGTTTTCCATTTTACTAAGGTGGGAGTGAGCAGATCAGGCCATCATTGATCGACACGTGGCACAAACAATGTGCACGCCACGTTGGCGTGGCATGCAATGACAGGGACTGGCTTGTAGTTATTGGTGTGAGGTCACGTGGCGTGTGACATGCCGAAAATCTCTCATGGGTTAACCAAATGAGCTGGTGTTGGGCTTTCGAGGCTCAGGCTGCTATCACGATCATCATAAGATAAGCTTGGATTTGGGCCTTTGGGGTTTTCATTCCTCGGCTATTTCCCGGAATAAGCATTTAATCCATTTTCTACTTTTGTTGTTATTATTATTATTATTTTCACTATTTCTACTGCTCATAAAGTAACAAAAATATATAAACAAAGGTACACAATACCTACGTTATTTTTACTGCCAAAAACAAACACCTACGCTATGTTTTTTAGGTCCTAACATTCTAAAATTTTTAAAACTATATATGTTATACTCATGGTTGGATTGTCAAATAATTACACGGTAATATAAGTACTGTTAAGCCATCTAATAACATGGACAGATAGGGATTCGCTAACCTATTAAAAAAAGAAGGTTGAAAAAAAAAAAAAAAAAAAGAACAAAGAGAAAGAAAGAACTAACATATAAGGCTTCATTTGGCTCCTTCTGAGGGTCAGAATGGGACAAGATCGGTATTTATGCGTAAATTCTAAGGGTTCCTTTGGGATGGAAACTAAAAGTGATAAGTAAAAAGTAAGTAAAGGGAATGGAACCAAAATAAAAATTTCACAATGAACATTTCTCAACAAATCAAATTTTTTCTAATTATTTTTACAAAAAAATTATGAGAAATTTAGGTGGTTATGAAAAATTTATTTTCTTAAAAAATTTTCTATTCCTGCAAATCTAAAACTGTTTATTATTATTATTATTATTATTATTATTATTATTATTTATCTAATCAAACAGAGCTAAAAGATCTTATACACGTGTTCATAATAGTCACACAAATCAAACTTCTAATTTTTTATTTCTTACAAAGTTATTTTCAAAACTAATCTTATAGAATGGTCGAAAAAGATGTTAACAAGTATGGTTGGCGAATAAAAAAGGGAATACATATAAGTAGACTTAGTACCCTTAAATAACAAAATAGTCTAATTTTAAAGTTTATTTTTCAATTTAATTGAATTAAACAAAATAATTACAAATACAACAATAAGTATTGTCAAGGTCCAAAACACCCTCCAAACTCTTGTTCTAAAATACCAAAATATCCTTAGAGTTATATAATTTCAAAATAACAAAAGTCAATTAAGAAACTTTCGAATCTTGACTGTAGATCCTGTGTTTGGAAGGAGCCTGAGTGAAGAAAATCAAATCCATTACAACAAGCATGACAAATGATTTAACGAGTATCTTACAAATCCAAATTTATTTTACACGGCATTTTCTCCCTCTTTATTTGTACTATTTACATGTTTATACATATAACTTTGAATTTCCTTTTATAGGTGGAATAATATTTTCTTGTTCTGAAGCAAGAAAGACGCTTTGTTTATAAATATAATATTTTAAGATGTATTTGTTGTATGTCTAGAGAAATTGTAGAAGGTTGCAAATGAATTGTTTGATTAAATACTCAATTGAAGAAATAAAACATTTTTTTGAAGACACAAAATACTATTCTCTGATAAATTTGAGATCAACCCTAGATGTTTAGGGATCAAGTTGTGATACTTGTTCTTAATTTTCAGATAGATTTTCACTATTCAACGAGGCTTTCTCTCTCTTTAATTAGATCCGTCTTATTTCAAATTTTTCTGAATTTTTTTATTTTTCTGAGTTATATATGTGATCATACTGGGTATAGATTAATTGACCCAAGAATCAAAATTTTTAGTTTATCCTTTATATTTTTGATAAGAAATCATTGTAGATAAAAAAAATGAATCTTTAAGTCACTATACAAGAGATCTGAGGAAGACGAGAAAGACAAGCCAATTAAAGTTTGTATAATAATCCTCTGGTCATGGCGGTCTCCCTCATCAACGTGGTTGTTCAGAAAAGTTATCAAAACCAAACGAGAGGTAAGAGAGAGAGACGATGAAGATAGAGGAATGGAACCCGATCTAATTGAAGAGAGAAAGAAACGTCGTTTTGGAAAGAAAAAAAAAAATGGTAAGAGGGATGATGTGTCCATGCCACATAAGAATTGGATTAAAATAGGCTTCAAAATTCTTATAAAATTATACGGATATTTTAGTATTTCAGAATAAGAGTTTAAAAGATATTTTGGACTTTAACAATAATTGTTGACGTATTTGTAATTATTTTGTTTAATTTAATCAAATTGAAAAATAAACTTTAAATTTAGACTATTTTGTTATTTAAGACTACCAAGTATACTTATACGTAGTTTTTTCATAAAAAAAGTCTTATTTCCAGAGCATAACTAGCTTCAAAACAAATCACACAAATCAAACTTTTAATTTTTTATTTCTTACAAAGTTATTTTCAAAACTAATCTTATAGAATGGTCGAAAAAGATGTTAACAAGTATGGTTGGGGAATAAAAAAATCTTATTTCCAGAGCAAAACTAGCTTCAGACAGATGCCTTTGGTGGGGGGGCTTGGCGTAAAGAAAAGGATAATACAAGTGTACGCCCACTATACAACAACTCAAAGACGAAAATAAACTCCTCATGCTAGCTCCAGCATAAAGAAATGTAATTCATAGAAAATTTTCCATATAATGAATGCAAAATCATGGGAAAGAGTTCAACTAACACGCATGAAATCAATTACTAGTTTAATCCCGGATGCTAAAAATATTATCATAAATTATCCAGTAATCCATGATAATCTCAATGTAACATTAATATTCATTTAAAATAATAGAAAATCTCTTGTTTTCACAGTTCAATCCCCCAATGCTAAATTTCTGAGGAAAAACAACAAAATCAACCAATTCACTTCGCCACATAATGAGGCACTGAGCTGGTGATTACCTTGAGACACAGAAGGAACAAAATCATAGATAATGCAAAGAGATCATCTGGAACAACAAGGGAGAGTGCTCTGCTTTGATGAGTCGGCTCCATTTTTAACCAGGGTTACTCGATTGACAGATAATTCGGCCTTGTAGGAATCGGAGTTAAGTATTTTCCTGCTAACATTGTTGTATATCTCACGGATAACAATCTCAAAAGCTGCATTAACATTAGTTGAATCCAGGGCAGATGTCTCCATGAAGAATAATCCTTCTGCTTCTGCAAGGCTCTTGCCTTCCTCCATGCTAACTTCTCTAATATTCTCCAAATCACACTTGTTTCCTACCAGCATTCTTGCTACTGTTGTGTCAGAATGAGCTGCACAGTTATTTTGTACAAGTATTAAACACTTACTAATGTTGAACTTTGGATACAAAGCAATAATTGCAGAATATCTAGTAGCTGCATACAAAGAATAAAATAAGCACTACTCCTGGAGAGACGGATATAAATTAGCTGCATCACAAATAATTAAAATAACCACAACTCTTGGAAGATGTCTATGCATAAAATCACTTTTAAAAATACTGTCACATTGCATTTGTTATGAAATGTTTGAGAGTTTCTGCGGATCGATCAGTGGATGACGGACGAACCTGCTGAACATTTTTGCCCAACTTGCAATAGGGTATTCATTCAACTTGACAAAACATACCAAATCAAGCAAATATGAATGAAATAAAGAACACAGGGATAAGCTTGCTTAGGGATTGTTGGTGTGCTAATGTAAAATGAACAAATAATTTAGCTAGGGATGGCAATTTCCTCCGCCCCGCCCCGCCCCTACCCCTAATGGGGTGGATTTAGTGGCCCTTAAATGGGTTTGGGACGGGTATGGTAAAATAATTAAAAACCCAAGCGGGTTTGGGGCGGGGGCAAATTTAGTGATGACCTCGCCCCGATTATATATGTATCTTTTAATTATTATTTTATATATATATATAAAATATATATTTTATATTTTGAAGACTCTTGTGTCTTTATTAGAAGTGTCTGTTAATATATTAATATTCACTACTTAGTAATTTAAAAATTGGGCCAGCTTATTTATCAGCCCAATTGGAGCACATTGGGCTAGTTTTTTTTTACTACATAATAAAAGTGCCATAACCCCAGCCCACCCTCACCGCACGCCGCAATTAAACGGAGTACATGGGGTGGAGTCAGTATTTTGTCTACCGAAATAGGGGTGGAGATGATATAACAATTACAAACTTGTACCGGAGTAGGGGCGGAGTTGGTATGATAAATTTTCTAACGGGGCGGAGTAGGACTTAACCAACTCCGCCCCGTTGCCATCCCTTACTTTAGCAACCCTGACGCTCATGTTACCAACTTGTTTGATCCCTATTTTCCCAACTAAAACTATGAAGGAAAAATAGCTAATAGTATATACCCATACATACAAACTAAAATGCCCTTCAAAAACAGGCACTTAAAGAAGATAAGTGAACTGTATGGCCCTGGTAAAGGCCTGTGCTGTAGCATCTAATATGGTGCATTTAATTCGGGTGGTTTGGGTTCTGGTATGTTTTTAAGAATTGGGATTAGCACGACCCTCATATCTTAATATCAATCACTAACTAACAAGTGGATGCCAACTAAGTGCAGGTAGTTGGACAAGAAACTCTGGCATAATTTTTATTGCAAGCAAACAAGCTCTTACTGTACAATGCAACTAAAACTGCTGCTGTATGGCATAAAGTCACAGGCAATTTAAACTTTTAGCATGTAAAGTAAGAATTTTACTGTAATTCTGAAAAACACAACACTAAATCTGTTAACCAACACATTAAAAATATGTAAACATCATCAAAATTCCTTCTATAAGTGGTAAGAGCATCAATATAAATCATCAATGAAGCCAGGTAGCGAACATCTCAAGTTCTATAGATGAATCATATTGATAACCCTGGTTTTCTAATTACACAGAACAATTCTGGTATTTACAAAGCACAATTTTGTATCAAGTCAGAATCACATAGAACTCATGATGTGCCTGTGTTGTTCTGTCCAATATCCAAGGATAACATTCCAGTAACAAAATGGTATTTTCAATACGAAGGTAATGGATACAAGAATTACAACTCACACAACTGATATGGGGCATACAATTTGTGGCAGAAGAAATAAATGTAAAATGGTGGAAAATACAAGCATTAATATTCTACTATTAGCTTCAAGAATTGACAACATCCAATAAATCCCACAAAAGAAGATTCAAAGGAACAAATCCAATTTTTTTTTTTTTTTTTTGGAATGTAGCAAATCTAAAATATTCAGCTAAAAAAAGCCTACATAAAATTTTCGTTTCCATTCTACTCTAAGGCTATATTAAATCTGGAAACACTCACTAACAATAAAACCAAACAATCAAAAACTTGGGGCTTCTAAATTATCGGAAATACAACTAATAATATCAAACTAATTGTGGCATAAAAAAATAAGAAAAAAGGCACTTACTATCGAGCTCATCGAGCCACCGTTTAATGCTGTCGAAAGTGGTCCGGCGACTGATATCGTAGACGATGAGTGCCCCAACGGCGCCTCTGTAGTAGGCGGAAGTGACGGCTCTGAAGCGCTCCTGGCCGGCGGTGTCCCAGACCTGGGCCTTGACCTCCTTGCCGTCGATTTCTATGGCCTGGGTCTGAAATTCGACTCCAATGGTGGCCTTTGAGTTCTTGTCGAACTCATCTCTGGCAAAGCGTGAGAGTAAGTTGGATTTGCCAACTGCTGAGTCCCCAATTATCACTATCTTGAACAAGTACTCCTCCCCTTCTTCTTCATTGCCCATTTCTTTTTGAGCGGTTTAGAGAGAATGAGAGAAAGTGATAAGATATGGGTTTTCCTGGTGGAAGTGTGTAATATAAATGGTAATTTAAGAGAAATTTATGGATTGACAATGGCGAAAAGTGGTTTTATTTTTTTGTTTGCAGTGTAGTGAAGTTAGCAATGTCTAATTGCGTAATTGACGGCAAGTGAGTAATAATAGAAGGTTTCCGAGATTTCTAGGGATTAAAATATTTTTTTATTTTGAGGTGCTTGTCTTGTAGTGTGACTAGTAACTTTTTCTACGGTTGTGTCTGTCGCTTTTGGTCAGTAAAGATTTTTTAAAGGGACATATGTTTTATTTTTAAAAAATTATTAATTTGTTCTTTTAAGTTTCCAATATTCAAAGACATATATAAAAATATGTAAAATATATTATTTGAAAAAGAAAAGTAACAATTATTTTGTGACCAAAAAGAAAAACACGACATTTGTTTTTTAGGACAGAAGGAGTAGCAATTTATTTGAGAGACGAGAATAGAAATATTGAAATTTCAAACCTTTTTTTTATTATATTATTTATCTATTTGCTTTTTAAATAAATATAACTATTTTTTCAAAAGAAATTTACACAGCACTTATTAAAAAAATTCACTTAATTTTCTATTTTAAAAGACTAATTTGGTCATTTTCAATGAAATAATACACTTTGTGATTGTGTAATTTTTTTGAATATTTTTTTGTAATAGATTATTTACTTCGCGCGCGTGTGTAATTTTTCAACACAATTAACCTTACTTTTAACACTAGGTTTTAATGTGTTGAGCACACCTATGGCTATAGTATGGTGCAATGGTAATGCAAATCATTTATGTGAATGAATGATTTCAGGTGAAAAAAAAAATAATAATAATTCAAGCGAAGTGAAATAGGCTACACTTAAATTATCTTGAATTGCCTAAAATGAAGGGCCTAATGGTAATTTGAAAGGCCTTCTAAAGCATCCATATTTTTTCAAGGTAGAGACTGTATAATGTTTGTATCAAATACGTTTAGACCACTAACCTGTTGGTACTTCTATGTTATATCAGTAATTTCATTTTGGTTCATAATATTTTAAAAACTCTATATGTTTATAAATTTTTATATATATAAACATATAGTAGGTTTTTTTTAGAAGGTTAAGTAAATTCACATGCATGCCTCTACCTGGAACTCCCACCAGTTGGGTTATTGTCTATTTGATAAATATAATATGTTGTTCTTTATTGCCATATCTTATGGTAGCTGTATCATGTTTCTTTGAAATTTGGTGTATCAATCTATTCATATTGTGCTGTATCGGTGCTTCCTTAGTTCAAAGAATAAGTTGACATTCTTTGCTTCTTCAACAGGTACAGCACTGACAATAAAATCTAATGCCATTACCATTTTGCACAGCGTCATTATAGCATTATCACTCTATTTCTCGGCCATTTAAATCGTAGTTCACAATTACAGTATCGGTCACGATATCACTAACAGTCAGTGTAACAGACTCGGATAAATATTATTATACTTGTCGAACCGATTCATTTATAAATATGTGTAACGATATCAAACACTTAAAAAGAATTAAAGTGGATCATAATAACTCATAATACCGAAGCGTGCTTCATCAATAATCAAGCTAGGCATTATCAATAGAATTAAATTTGTCCCATACTCTGATAGGTGTAGCCAAATCAAGCGTAGGTGCCCGTCAATAAGTTTCTTGCCAAATGTCAAAAACTATATTAATGTTCCTGAATATAATAGTACAATATCCCGATCAACCCTTTTCAAATAATAATTCAGTACCTACATGTGACATGTCAACTTGTTCAAAGCATACTATTCATTGCAACTACTTTATAAAGTTGACATTTGTTATTAAAATCTTTTTTTTCTTTATAAATATATAAATTATAACATTCATCAATTATTATTATTATTTTTTTTTCCATTCATCAGTCAACAATATCTGCTGTGATGTCTTATGTCCTCCATGTCTCCAATAGTCCAATTAAGAAGTCACAATATTGACAAGAAGAAAACTTGTGGCTTTGCTTTGTCATATTGTCTTCCTCCTTTGAAATTGTGACTTCCTTTAGGCAAGTTCTATATATATATATTTAATTAAAGAATTTACATGATTAACAAGAGTGAAGGGTTTGAGAATCTTGGCCCACATAGCCACAATCAACTTCGTGTAAATTTGCAACTTAGATGTTTTGATTGGGGTAAAAATCACCTCCAGTGAAATAGTGTATCATTTACTCCATTTTGAAATAAGTGGTCTAGAAATGGTCACGTCACCAATGTTTGGGACAGTAGGAAAATATTGAGATGCACAATAGGAAAATGTTGGGATGCACCTTACGAAAATGTTAGGATGTACTTCTACTTACAAAAATGGAGAAAATGGACTACTGTAATAACTGGAGGTGATCCTTGTCCTTGATTGGGAGTAGTGAATGACCTAATTTTTTTCTATTTCAAATCTAAACTATGGATTGGACAATTCCAAATACAACATATTAAATTTCAAACTCATGCAATTATCATTTTCAACTAATTTGAAAACTATCCATAAAAGAGTAAAAAACGAAAAGAAAAGAATAGGGCAGCTTAGAAGATTGTTATCCTATTGGTGTTCCCAACATATATATTGCTCTGCACGAACGGATTGTAGTGGTGATATTCAACATCTATAGTGGGAGTGCTTGGCTGTCTTTGCTTTCAGTCCACTTCCAACTTATCTATATATCTTCATATTATTGTTTATTTCATTCTTGTAAATTAAGTTGAGGTCAATCAGTATTGGAAATTCTTCTTTCCACTAGCAGGATAATATATCTCTGGCCCTTTTCACAACCATATTAGGTGCCGTGAAGGAAGACCACTTAATGAGATAGGCACCACACCATAAGTGAACTGACCTCAAACACTACTGAAATAATATATACTATGTGTGTGTTCTAGAGATTGATAGTATACTACCTTGAAGTATGCTTCATTGATTTGCATATATACTATGAAGGAACAGTTAATGAATTCTTGAATGAATCTAGGGCTTATTAGCTGAAATTTTGTTCTCATAACCCATCAAACTTACCCTTTCCTAGTAAGTAAATCTCAGGACTCATTGATAACTAGCAAAATCTACAAGTTATGTAAATACTTTATTGTAAACCATTGTACCAACTTTTTATGAAGAAAAGCCTTTCCTTCCAGAAACAATGCTATTTTTTTCCACTCATGACCCAACATATTGGTGGGCTGCCCAATAAGTCAAGAATGTCTGCTGTGGTTTCCCCACATACTCTTCCACCAGCACTTTAAAACTACACTCATGTCATACAACAACTTCAACTTAGCTATAGAGATAACCATGGCTCTGCTACACCATTTCCTTCTCCTACTACTCTTGCTTCCCAATATCATTGCAGAATCTGAAGATCCTTCGGGCCAGTTTTGTAATACAAATACTAAAATAAATAGCACAAGTCGAGTATCAGCAAATATTGACCGCTTGTTGCCTCAGCTTGTTTCGGGTGCTATTCTGAATGGCTTCATTGCTACCTCCTATGGTAACGGTGAAGACCAAGTCTATGGCCTAGCACAATGCAGAGGAGATGTGAGCAGCAAAGACTGCTCGACCTGCATCCAAGATGCGGCAAAGGAGATTCGCAAACGCTGTCCAAACGAGGCTGATGCTAGGATTTGGTATGAATATTGCTTCCTAAGGTATAACACAAAGGATTTCTTTGGACAAGTTGACACATCTTTTGGTATTTTCTATTACAATGTTCAGAATGTAACCGATCCTGATCCTAAAACTTTCAACAAAGAACTAGGAGCTCTGATGGACAAGATTAGTTCACAGGCTGTTGAGCCCACGAACAAAGGGCTTGGGAAAGAAAAAACTAAATTGACACCTTTTATAACACTATATGCTTTGGTACAATGCACAAGGGACCTCTCAAAGCTATCTTGTGCTCAGTGCCTGGCCATAGCAGTTGGCAACATCCCAACTTTCTGTGATAACAAAAAGGGCTGTCGGGTTCTATATAGTAGTTGTTATCTCCGTTATGAACTCTATCCTTTTTACTTTCCTCTTGATTCACAAAACACATTGACAGATGCTTCAAAGGTTTATCATGTATCTGTTGTTTCCAAACCTTAGTTAGTTGGTCACATGTCAAAGAAGCACAAACTTCTGTGTAACATCATTTCAATTTGTATTTATAAGCTTTTGAATATCTTTACATGTACATGTGTAGCAATTTTGCATTCAGATCCACAAATATTAATCATCGCAGCACATAAAATAAAGCGTGTTATGTACACAACTCCAATATGTTATAGATGGATCATTTTGCCATAAAATTAGTTAATTGTTCGCCTTGCCTCGACTTCTAGGGAAAGGGACAGCATCCTTAATATCAATGAGGCCAGTGGCATAGAGAACCATTAGGTCAAATACAAGACTGAAGCCAGAGTGTTGGACAGTTCCTTGCCTTCGAAGATCCAAGTACCATTCATACTGCTCTCTGGGTAAGCCCAATTCCTTAATCCTGCAAGCATATACAACAGAAAACTTGTAAAACTTTTACTAAACCATTTCCATTAGAAATATGGAAAGAATTAGAAAACTAATGCCCCAAACAACTGCAACTGTTATCACCATCGAACTAGGACAAGATGACCCAAGATCAAGGAATAGAAAGAAATGGTGATCATCTCTAAAGTGACATCAGCATAATGTTTGGTAAAAGTGAACCTTCATCGTTCAATCAAAGATCAAAAATAGATCCTTACCTTGAACTTAATTTCTCAAAGCGTTCCTCATTTTGGCTACCTCTGATCAGTGTTCCACCCTGCAAACAGGTGTCCTCCAGCTTAGTGAGCATAATTTAATCTAGATAATAGTTGGAACTATAATAGGATTAAAGAATCCAGCACTAGTTGCTTAACAGGCCCTTTATTGCTCACAGAAACACTTCAGCTTACCTTTGGTGCAATCACATCAAATGCTGCAACTGTTTTTCCATCATCGTTCAGGCGAACATAGAATGGTTTCAGTTCTTTTGGGTAATTGTATATAATCACTGGACTTTGATATATCTCCTCTGCCAAATAACTGTCAACGACAAAGAAGCTAAGTCTACCCATTCCTCTCTGTTACAAAAGTTTACATTTATAAAACACTTGCGTACCTTTCATGTTCTTCAGTCAAAGATGCACCAAATTCAATTTTTGCTTCAAATTTCTTATTAGTTACCTAATCAGAAAACATCAATAATACATTTGAAATAAGAACAGCAATTGTGGATATATCAGTAAGAATAATATATCCAAGGAACATGCAGCACAATATTGTTACCTGTTTTAAAACCTCCACTGCTTCTGCATAGGAGATCTTTTTAAATGAACTTGATGTCATTGATTGAAGGCGATCCACAATGGTTTTGTCAATCCGTTTAGTGACAAATGTTAAATCTTCTGAACAATTTTCCAATGTCCATTTGCACAGAAACTTTAAAAGGTCATTCGCACAGTTCATGGCGTCCTAGACATGCACAAAGAATAATATAATTTTAGGAAAATTTATTTCACATGTAGAATATGAGGAACAAAGCAATGAGATTGTAGTTTTTAAGGCAAGGCACTTCAGAATATTACAAGTATGTTGGATATTTATGCCACTCCAAAGGAATTAAGGGTATTCCCACAATCAGAAAGTAGTGGCAAAAAGATGCCTCCAACTAGAAAATTATGCTGAAAACAGATTTCATGAAATTGAAAGGAACAACAGAGCATATAACATAAAAGAGCATAATGTGACAAAAAGAATCAGCTTCATTTGAAATTAGTATAAGTAAAGTTGGTTTATTGTATTACTGAGGAATTTTAAGAAAGCATTAGTACTGAACAAAGAAAAAGCTTCTACCTCTAACTCTGAGAAAGCCATTTCGAGTTCAATCATCCACATCTCTGCCAAACTTTTTTTGGATTCTGACATTTCTGCTCTAAATCTGGGCCCAAACGAGTACACATTTCCAAGGGCACATGCATAACTCTCAAGATGAAGGCGACCAGAAGCTGTTAAATAAGTCTGGCGAGAAAAGAAATCTTTAGAAAAGTCAACCTTTTCAGTTTTAAGTGAAGTTCCAGGCTTTGATTTTTCTCTTGCTTCCAACTGTGATGCTAGCTCGTTTGTTTTACGGAGATCCTGAATTGCAGCAGCTAGTGCTTCCTTATTGCTATCAGTTCTCTTGAGTTCTTCAACCAGTTTACTTTTCTCCTTGATAGAAGCCTTGACAACTTCAAGGTTGACAACTTCAGTTTCATTCATGACACTTTGCTCACTTTTTTTTATTTCTTTGGATAAAAGAGTGGTAACTTGGAACTTCTCACTAAACCCTTCAGAATCTGTTGTTGTGATGATGGGCACTTGCACATAAAGGAACCCATTGTTCTGGAAGAAAGCGTGAGTTGCTTGAGTCAGGGCATTGCGGATTCGCAGAACAGATGCCACCTGCAAATTTTAAAACACCTCAACGAAAGAGTAAAGTAACACAATAAGGGACCTAAGTAACATAATTAGAATCATTCTAGAACGTCAAACTTATACAAAAAGAAGTGAAAGTGCGTGATAGAATCATGTTAGTCCTAAGCTTTTATTGTTATTCTTCGTTATGATTGCAGGCTTGCAGCACAAAGTTGGACAGAACCCTGAAAATGATTAATGCAAGGATGATCTTTGTTAATGATTTGGTCATCTTGAAAAGCGAAAGTGATGGATTTTTGAAAACCAAAAAACTACAGCAAAAATGAAAATTTATCTCCCTTGGGGAAAGGGACATGTAAAAAAGTTTGTTGTCAAATATAAAAATGGGGGTATTGAAACTAATATGTAGAGCCTTGATGTAGAAAATAAAAATGGAGGTATTGAAATTACCGTCGTAGTTCTTGGACGAAAGTGAGAGAAATCCCTTAACATATCCAATGGTAATCTTTTCTTTGATAACGGATACTTATCCGGATCAACTATTCCAAGATGCAGAATTTTGTCTGCTTTGAGCTCAATAACATGTTTTCCCACTCCTGATGGTTGTTGCAAGGCACCTTCAACTAATATACAAGTTCCAGTAGGCATGATTTGGCTAGGAGGGACTATCGATGATTCAACAAGAACCTAAAAGAGTACAAATTATAAAACCAATCAACAAAAAAAATGACATATACAAGTAGGTCTGATTTTCATTAGGTGGCTTTAAAATTGAACATGAATTTATGATAAAATTCAAGATTTCTGATAGAAAAAGAGAGAATTGGATGTACCTGAAGACTTGAAACACAAGAACCATCACTAATTTGCAAGAAAGCATTAGAGGGTGTTGGGGGTCTATTAATCAGAGAATCCAACTTCTCACGGATCTGGACATGGCCTCCCCCAAAAACCTTCAATATGGAGCGAAGAAAGGGTATTCGAGATTGAAGAACTTCCACACAGGTCACATCATGTGGTTCGGCCATACCAACTTTTACATCCGAGGTCTGCACAGGTTGTTCTTTCTTCACCTCTTTGGAGGACTTAACCCATCCTCCAACCAAAATTGTCTCACCAACCAATCCGAATCCTCCATCGCTGCGACCCACTACAGTTTTCAAGATTACCCTTTTCGAGTACTTGAAAACGGTAACCGGCGATTCAGCAACTTGGGTTTGCTCTGAGGCCAATTTGGGGTAAGAAGAAACTTGGGTTTGCTCTGAAGCCATTTTGGGGTAAAAAGAGAGAGAGAAAGAGAAGTGAAAGTAAGGAGAAATTGCGGAAGAGTTTTGGAAGGTTTGTGGGAGGATTTGGGTTTTTATTTGGATGGATGGACATGGTGATGTATATAGCAGAGGAAGGATGCTTTACTTGGGAAGGTGATTGGGAGGATTGAGAGGAGGAAGATGAAAGAAGAGGGTGTGCAGAAGTTTGAGGGTGAAGGAAAGGGATTAGAGACGCAGAAATGGAGGCTAGGGTTTGGTATTCTTGTAGGTTGGGCTTTCGCGGGAATTCCACACTCCCAACTGTTTTCCAAATTTTGATTTTTTTTTTTCCTTAAAAAACAAATAATAATAATAATTAATCAATTAAGAATTGGATTGGTACAGAGAATAGGGTTTGGTATTTTTGGGATTGTTCGTAATATATCCAGGCTGGTGTTTGGGTCTCCTCAGTATCCTTATGATTTATCTTCTAGAGATGAGGCCTAGAAGCCCCAGTTCCACTGTTAAAAAAATAAAATAAAATAATAATAATAATAATAAAAAGACTATAATGGAGCCATTCGTCTTGCACATCATTTTCGTTTCACCCTCTCGTAGAAAAGGTGAGAAGGTAATACTACCTCTATTATATATTATTTTATTTTTAAATGTTTTAATTAGTTGTTTGTTTTGAAAAGTCAAAGCAAATAAATTTTTATCTTTTTATCATTATCATTTATATTTTTTAAAATTTTAAAACTTAATAATTAAACATATCTAAACTAAAAAGGACAAATTAATAATTTTAAAAAAGATAATACATTAATTGTATATTCTTTTGAAAATTTTAATTTCAAAACATGAATATCTAATACGAGACCGAGGAAGTTATACTTCTCCTTTCACAATTTTCATTTCCAACAAAGCATGTACGAATTTTAACTGACTAACTGTCCATTCTAATAAAGTAGATGGTATTTGTACGCAAAGAAATGATAGAATCAAGCTGTACCTCGTACCTTATTTTTCATTTTCTTCTCTGACAATTACACAAAAAAAGGGGGGAGACAGTTTTTCTTTTTCCTTGCAGATACTTTTTTTTTATAATTATCTATCCCACCTTTTTAAAATTTTGCAATATTAGTAAACCATAAGAAATTATAAACGTGTTTTTTTGACGACAGGCATTGAATTTCAGACTACTTCAAAACAATCTTGCTATAATTTTATCCTAGCCAACCTTATTTGCTAAGGAATTTGCAATTTCTTTGATTTTTTTCCTTAAAAATTATAAAGTTAGATTACTTCAGATTCTTAAAGGGGTCACTTACCAAAGACCTTTTATATTAATTGTAACTTCATTTATATTTATCCTTTTTTATGTTTTTTTGCATTATTGGATAGGAATCTTTCCAGCAATATACAATTTAATAGGGTTAAGTGCAAATAACTCTCATTTAAATATGATATAATACAAAAAAGTTCCTGTGTGATATAAAATACCTCCTCAAATGCTTCTGTCTGTATAAAAAGACTATAATACCCTCTTGCCAGTAAAATAAAATAATATTTAAAAAATAAAGTAAGGTACAATTACCATTTTAGATAAAGACACCCGGTTAAGTAGTCCAATAGAAAAAAAAAATTGTGTACAAAAATTTATATAATATTAAAAAAATAAAAAAATGAAGAAGACCCATTGTCAAACGGGTGAAACTCAACTGATAAAAAAAAGGCAAAATAGGAAGAGAAATGGGTAAATTAGGATTTTTAAATTTACTTTATGTCAATTTTGACCAAAAAGTAGTTAGAGGTACTTATGAACTTACAAATTTTTTAAATTTACACATTTTTTTAAATTTTATGAACTTAAATGCACATTCTCAAAAATGAGAAATTATTTGTGCACAAACCCTATATTGCTAGAGAGTTTTCTGCCGTTAACGTTATTTAATACTCACTAGTTACTACTAATTATGTTAAACTAAGACACTATTTCAATTGATTTTGCGTTTGGTTAGTACATTTATTATAACCAAAATTTGTACCATCCTTAATATTTTCCAAATATAAAGTAAATTTCTACAATCATCACACTTGTTTTATACCCCACGATGACAATAATGCAAGGTCCATTTATCAATTTATTTATATAAGAATCTAAAAGCGGTGAAAAAAAGATAAAAAAATACTACTATAAGAATCTGCAAGGCAATAATTAACCTTTTTTCTCTTTTTTGTGAAAAGACCAGGTGAAAAAACTCTGCACACGGAGAAGCATACGAATGATTCTTAGGCAGAAACCCTATTTTAACCTAGAAAAATATCAAAAATAAAACCACGTTGCTATGTAAAATGCAGACAACTTGGTGGTATTTTTGTAATTCTAAGAAAAATCCAAAAATACCATGAGTTGCTCAAATATGAAATTTGTCAGTTGGTGTGTTCTACTCAGCACGGGACATTTTGGCAGTCCAATTGTCCTTATTTGACCACAATCTCTCTCTCTCTCTCTCTCTCTCTCATCCTGACAATATATATAATATAATGAAACTATCATAATTTATCTCTTGCTTATCCCAATACTAAGCAAACAATGGCCAACATTAAAAACCCCAACTCACTACTCTTGCTACCCTTCACCCTAGTTTGTGCAGCATATGTTATTCAAGGTCATCATCACCATAACTACTTCATCATACAAATCATATATTTCTATCGTGTGTATATATATATACTTCTTGCTTCGTGTTTCGATTAATGTATAATCTTTGCTACTTTTTACAATGTATATCATTTTATTTTTCTACATTAAGCTAGAAATGGGTTGTTGTACTTGAATGAATTGAAAGTTCAGCTTGATATGGTTGTGTTGTATCAACTATTCTAGCCATGGACCTAGCTAGTATACCTAAATTCCATTTGGTTGCTGAGAAAACAGAGGTAATGAACAACTTGGATTTCACATTGGCCAAACATGGTGTTTGTGAGATTCCCAAGTTCTTTTTTTCCTCTCTCTCTCTCTCTATGTTCTCAACCACCAAATTCAGCTTTTATTTTATTCTTCATGCTACACTTAGATATTGAACTAATTCTATGCGCGCTCATATTCAACATAATTTCAGGTGTTGCAGGGTCTAAAAGTGTAGTAGTAGTTCCTCTTGATCAAATGGTCTATGACTCCTCTCTACCAGGGGGACAACTACATTTGCAGGTGAGAAACAAGAAGCATTTCTGTAAAGAATATTGGTCGATTTTTTTATTTTTATTTCATATGGTATTTTAACATTTTTCGTAACTTCATTTTCCAATCTTTATGGGGGCATATAGGGCAGTGGCAAAGATTGGATGAAGAGGAGTTCAAGAAGATCAATGATTGGATCAACAGCGCCAACGTGCACTTACAATGAATGCAGAGGGTGTAAGTATAAATGCAGAGCTGAGCAAGTTCCAGTGGAGGGGAACGACCTCATCAATAGCCCATACCACTACAAATGTGTTTGCCATAGGTAATTTTTCAGAGCTAGGGAAGTACAAGTTTGAGATAAGTGAATTTTGGTTCGGATTATGAAATTTTGGTGCAGAATCATAAACAACTCTATAGCTCTCTTCCTTCTGTTTTCCACATTATTTTGTTAGTACTAGTAGTAGCTAAATGAGTGTCCAAATTTGCTGTTTTAGTATCTTTCTGGTTTGAGAATGCTGGACTGTGTATTTGGGATATTTTCAGTTTTTTGTTAGTATTTGTTTCTGTATTTTGCTGCACAGATTCTTTTGACAAGCACAAGGCATTGTTTGTGGACACGTACTGTGTGTGTGGCCATTGAAACGCTACATGATTTTTTTTTTTTTTTTTTATTATTATTTTTTTTGAAAGTGTAGCACTGCAAGTGGCACATGGAAATGGTCCCCAACACTAAGCATATGCCATCATCAATTGGTCATATAGGGTAGCTTGTTTGAATTTATTCATTTGCACCGAGGGATACATGAATTTAGTTGGCACAAAAAGATATATAGAGAGATACAAGTAGGTAGGACCCATTTTCAGTGTACAAAAAGCAAAGCAAACCACTCCATACTCATGCTCAATTGATGCACATTTTTTTATTTTTTTATTTTTTCATAATTGATGCACTTCACCATCCACAAGTGTCTTCTTCTTTTTCTTTTTTTCTTTTTCCCTTTTTTTCTTTTTTCTTTTTTCTTGAGAATATTCTAATGTCTACATAAGGATCTAGGGCATACACACCCTTTTATGCCCATAAGTTGATGACACATTTGCCTTGTTCAATCATGGTCTGGACCTTCCTCCACTCAGCACTTGTTATAAAAGACGACTTTTTTCCCGATGATGTGACCCTATCCTCAACCTCCACAGATCAATAAAGTAAAAAGGCACATTTGGAAGTGCCATAAAATTCATATATTTCCCAACTTCTAACGTTACAAACATAAAAAGGAAAAAAAAAAAATTTGGGAATAGGAAAACAATGAAGTTGACTGGTTGCCAGAAATGCCACTATAATGGTGTAGGTCCATTCTGTGATGTAATAATAACAAGAGAATCAAACAAATTCAAAACAATTCAGGTTCATTTGAGTGTAAGAATATATATATATATATATATATATATATATATAGCCGCCCACTTAGTGACACTGACCTCGGCTCCTGTTATGAACATATTTAACCATATATAAATTAACTTACTAATTAATATATATAATGATTCAGGATATATAAAAGCATATATAAATTAACTTACTAATTAATATATATAATGATTCAGGAAATATATTAATCATATATAAATTAACTTACTAAATTACTGAATCATTATATATATTAATTAGTAAGTTAATTTATATATGCTTAAATATGTTCATAACAGGAGCCGAGGTCAGTGTGACTAAGTGGGCAGCCAGCCTTATTCCTCAAAGCATTCCTTAGCCATGCATAGGGTGATGAAATCATATTCCAGCTGAAGAGGCCAAATCATATGTCCAAAACTTTAATCTGAACCTCATTTACTTACCTTAAAAAAACCCGTAACCACATTTGATGGTTTATCTTGATCTCTTTGACAAAGAAATTGGATGAAAGATATTCTTTTTTAATTAATTAATTTAAGATATCCTCTACTTAAAATAAGATTAGCTGTAGATCTATTTCTATAAATTAAGAAAGATTTCAGATATATCCCATTAGATAAACCTAATCTTTGGACATCATTTTCTACATTATTAATTGTTGTTTTAATAATTAATGTTGGGGTACAGAAGCTTGCGTGTCTTGTTTCCAATTAATTGTTGTGATAGGTTGTCTTTAATACATTGGGCCACTTGTAGTGTCAAGTCTGTGTGTGTGTGTGTGTATATATATATATAGTTACAAAGCAAAGCATTTTATCAAACACTTTAGAGATGGAAGAGATTGTATAGAGATAGTGGCTCTGTACTCTGCAGTGGTCCCAATTTATGGATCGCAAAGAGAGAAGGTCAATTGGCTTTCATTACTTTATTTACATGCTTATACAAATTGTGTAAGTTGATCTCAAGGATTAAATATAAACATCATATCTTGTTGTTTGATTCAAACATCATATATAAATATAAACATCATATCTTGTTTGTTTGATTCAAACATCATATATATATGATGTTTATATATGATGTCAAACAAAAAAATATGATGTTTATATTTAATCCTTATATATATATATATAAACTCATATATATATATATGATGTTTGAATCAAACAACAAGATATGATGTTTATATTTATATATAAGATGTTTGAATCAAACAACAAGATATGATGTTTATATTTAATCCTTATATATATATATAAACTCACACACACAAGAAATTTATTTATGAAAGGAGTATATTCAATAATTAAAAGAGCTTCAGATTTTGTATCATCATAAACATCCACTACTTGTTAAAAGCTATGCATCAAGAAGCACTTCTTTAGGAGCTATAATGGTGCCAAACATGTTATTATTACTAAACTTTGACTTCCTTTAAATTAAGATATTACGTGTTGTCATAACCGTATCTTAATTTAATTCTTTTAACCTCGGCTTGTGAATGATCTCATCTTCACTCTTTTTTATTATAATTAATTGTTCACATTAAGGCTCGAATTTAGGGGGCAGAGTCAGAAAATTTAGGTTGGGGTCGGATTAATACTACATAACCAAAGTTATAAAATTTTATAAATCAATTATAATAAAATTTTGTTTAAATACTAATCATAGTAGACGAAAAACTGATATTAGAAAGAAGAATATAGAGAAAAAACGATGAGTTACAATTAAAAATAAAAGAGGTAAAGAAATAAGCATTATTAGAGAATTAATTTTCCTTCATCAATTTTTTAGTTTTTCAAAAATCAAATTTTTCAAAAAATTTGAGTACTTGATTCCACTTGGGAAAGCTATACCTAGATGAAAGATTAGAACAAAATAATGAATTTTAACTAAACCAAATAATTTTAATTTAAACAAGATACCAATAATGATTGTTATATAATTCTAGATATTTTTCTTGTAAATACCATTTTGCAAAAAAGTTTTTAAAAAAATGATTCATGCATTTTTATTAAATATGAGCGAAAATTAATGATTTTTATCCCTTTTTTTTTCTCTTGAATGAATATTTTAGATATTATAAATGTGTATATGTAAATAAAATAACAATGTATTTCAAAAACGACTACAATAATAATGTACTTAAATTTTTGTTTCTCAATATTGAACTTTTCCAATTTAAATTTTTTATGAAATTTAGGGATAATATTTACAAATTAATTAATATTTAATGAATATTAATAACATTTTCAAAAAGTTTAGGGAGGCTGCTCATAATGTCATGTTTGATGTGAGTGAATGAAATCAAATGAAGTGGGAATCGAATACTTTTGTTTTCATTCTTTAATTTGGTAATTAACTTTAAAGTTGGAATGATAATTCTTATCCATTCTCCAAGAATGGTGATTCCCACTCATTAATTCTACTTTCCAATTAAAGGAATGATCATTCCATTACCACTTTAAAAAAAAATAGATAAATAAAACATTCCATGAAACGTAAGCTACATATATACACACGCGCGTGTGTGTCTATATATTACAAAAATAAGATGTTTTTTTGTACAATCAAACATGTTCCATTCTCATTTTATTCTCTTATTCATTCAATTCTTACTTTATTTCGTTCAATCACACCAAATTAACTCTTCCTATTAACAATCACTAAGCCGCCATTAATATAGTATGGCGGCCATTGTTAATACTATATATAGTATTAAATTAACGGCGGTTTAGTGAATGTTTACCATTTTTTTTTGTATTATTTTATGATATTATTGTTCGCAGTGATTTTACAACGATATCCTAGACGTATGCTTGTAACACAAATAGTATGTGTTGAAACCAATGTAAAACTTTTTCATAAAAAGTACAGGGTGTGAAATAAATCCTAAAACGTTGAATTCTGTAATAACGCAACAAATAATATGTTTAATCAAGAATAATACGTACAATTACAAATATAAATAAATGAATTGAAGAATAGAATATGACTATATATATACACATATATGTCCCATTCCAATTGCCATTTATAATCCCTACCACTATGGATGGATAGCTAGCTGTCTTACCAACTGTAGACAGTTGTGTAAATGCCCCATCACTTTTGGACCCCACACAGTTTCATGCAACTATCTTCCCCTTTCAGTGTCAATATAAAGTTTTATGTCTGTCTGTCCACCGAAAGAAACTTCTCTCATCCATCCAACGGTCAAGATTAACTTCATTTTCAAAGATTCCTTATTCTTTTGGCTTAATCATTTTCATTCTTTTTACTAGGTTATGTGTTTGGACATAATATATTTTTTTAAAAATATTTTTGGTATTTTTTAATATTTGGTTGTCATAAAATATTTATAAAGAAAAAATATATTAAAATTTAACAAAAATAATTTATCTATCAATTTTTGACAAATTATTTTGCATGTCTCGTCCGATGGACTCGACTTCAACCTTGACGTAAATCTTTGTCCCACACCAATAAAGAAAAAATAAAAAAATATTTTACTTGAAAAAAAAAAATATCGTTGAAACAAACGGAACCTTAGTAGCTTAGACAAATTGAGAGATCTTAGACTTAGCTCACATGATCTTACAAAGATAGCGTTAAAAAATAAACACATTTCATAAAAATAAATGTGTTTCTCGATCTTAATAACGATCATAATTTGAGACTAAAATGTGTTGCCTAACATAAGAAAAAAATTGTTGAAGAGTTAGTTACAATTTTACTTAATTAATTCAATGATTATTATTATTTTGAAAAGTGATTATACTACCAATTATTTGGAATGGAATAAAATATACTAAATAATTTGATATTTATGATATCATGATTTTTGAGTACCTAATTCTATTTTATCTCAATATGCATGATATGACTTGTGAGGAATTTGTTTGATTCTCAATCGGACCAATTAACTAGTTGAACATATATTAAATCTATGTCCATTCTAGATAATCAGCTTATTTTATTAGCACCACGCGTTTAACATTAATGTATTTTCTTGATAAATAAGGCGTCAATTTTTAAGTAGGTAATGATGATGTCACACAATTTTATTTTATTTTTTCGGTTAAAGATGATGATGTCACACATATTACATCTTAGTTACACATATATTACAACACACACCTCGTCTAACATGATGATCATATTTTGATCCAACGAC